ACAGGCAAAGCCCGGACCCGACCCTTCCTTCGTTTCCCTATCCAGAGCAGAAGAGCCGGCACAAGCCCAAGCAATGCCGGCAGCCGGCAGAACTGCCTCCCGCCCGTCCCAGCCAGCCTTGCTTTATGCGTACGGTTTGCAAATCTGTATTATTCCCGCACAAGCCAAAAATAATATTAGTCCTCTCCACGCGCATTTCATCCCTAATTATCACTCGAGTCCTTTGCGACAAAAAGGCTTTCCCCGGCAGGTTTAAGGGCAACGTAGCGCAGATCCAAGAGCAAAGTGCTTTACCCTTTACCGGGAAAAAAAACGGGGGGATGTGGGGTGTGTGTGTCTCGCCTTCGGATGGCTTTAACGGGGAGTAGAGCCCGGTCACCGGCGCCGAACGGGGTCCTCAAGCCGCTAGAGCCGAAAGGCTGTGGCAGGCTCTGGAGCCCCGGGCAGGGTAGGCAGCGTCTTTCAGAGCCATCCCCTCCGGCCGGCAGGACTTACTTTCCCCACAGAGCAATTTAGGAAGCAAAACAGCAACCAGCGACCTCCGAGCAATGTTCCCGTGTCGACGTCCCCCCGGTCCCACCGCCCCTGCCGCCGGTTCCCCGAGGCACTCGCCAGTGCCGTCCAGCCCCGGGAGGCTAAAAATGAGCCCCTCCTGTGCCTTTTCGCTCGGTTTATGGGTTTCTGACCATTCTCTCTCGATGTGGAAGCACTGTTTTGGTTGTCAGTCGGCCGTGCATGAAAAGGCTGCGTGTGGCCTTTTTGGCTCCCAGGCCTTTTTTTTTTTTTTTTTTTTTTTCTAATAACAAAGGAAAAAAAAAAAAAAAAAGGAAGTTTGAAATACCTATGAGCACTATTACCTAGATATGTATTTTTATTAACAGCTGTGTCCCTACTCTGGTGGGAGGGACATCAGTCACCAGTCCTGGTGGCACCCCTTTGCAGACAGCAGGCAGTCCCTGCAGGTCGTCTTCCACCGTGTCCAGCAGCCCCGCGGCCGCCCCTCGCATGCGCTCCCCGAGCCGAGAAGAAGAAGAAGACTTCCCCTGGTCACCAGCAGTTATGCCCCCGTGGAGGGTCCGTGCTGGCTGTCAGCAGCATCTTTGGGGAGCCCGAGTCCCGGCCTCTTTTCTACCGAGCCAGATTTTAGGGGAAAAGCCCCTGTCGCACCTGAAAGCTCTGCAGCCACAGCTCCCCTCTGTTAGTTTTCCAAGAAGCTCCCCAGCGATTGTGCTCGTCCCCAGCATTACTGGGGACCAGCCGGTACAGAGCTGGGGAAACAGCCAGGGAAAGAGGTGTGGATTGCTCTTCAGCCGCCCCGAGGCAGCGGAGCCAAAACCCTCAGCCCGCGGCCGGGTCTGTCCCCTCTGGCCCACTGGAGCCGGCTGGGCTCCGGTCAGGCCGATGGCCTCGCTGCCGGGGTTGTGGCAGCATCCGTCGGCACTGGCTTGCCCCGGGCACTGCGGCATCCCCCTCCCGGGCGGTCGCGGAGTGAACTCGCCCTCCGGAGGGAGAGGGGGTTTGTGTAGGGATTGCCGGGATTCTCTCCCTCCTTTAAAGAAAATAAGACTGAAAGAAACGAAATAATACACATACAAACCATAAGTTACAAAACGACAAGTCCCACCTGCGGATGAGAGTCCGCCTGCTCCCCGGTCCTTCTGCCAGGCACCGGAGTGGTCTCGGAGCGGGGGAACACCGCAGAGCGGTGCGCGGGGACGAGCCGGGCCGGGGGTCTCTGGGATGAGCCTCTTCACCTACCAGCGCCCCCGCTCGCCTCTGGCGTTGGGATCGCGGCCCTGTCGCAGCCTTGTGCGGGGTGCCCGGGTTGATGGTGTGAGGCTTGGCTGGGACGTTTCATTTGCTCCCTGGTTTACCTTGCTCCCCAGGCAATCATATTAACCCCGAGCAGAAGGAAGGGCCCGTTTTGGGGAGGCTTTCGGACAGGCTGGCAGCGGTGGCATCCCCGGTGGTGCTGCCGGGGCAGAAAGAAAGACCTGCCCTTTATTTTCCCCATCACTTAAGCAAAAGTATGGCCCCGGGCTGCTCGCTGGGGCCACCACTGCCACCACATTCAGGCTTCTCTTCAGGCCCCAGCTCTGGGGCTGCCCAGCTCCGCCAGATTCCCAGTGTTCCCCTATGCGCGGGGAGGACAATCCCAGCCGCGGGAAGTTCCCGCTCCGGTTGGGTGCTGCAGACCCAGGGGAGCCGCCGGGTTCTCCGTGCCCCGGCCTGGGGGCCACCCTCGGGGCGCGTCGCTCCCCCCACTGACAGGAGAAAAGAAGCGGAAAACTGGCTGCCAGAGCCCCAGGCCTGCCGTGGAGAGGCCCTTAACCTCCGGGCCACCTTTGCCCCCTGCTCTCCGGAGCCCCTGGGAAGTCGGGCAGGTGCTGTGTGCCTGGGGGGGGGGGGGGGGGGGCTGTGCTCCGGCATCTTCTACCGCTTCTCCTCCCCTTCTTCCCGGGGAAGCGCTGCTGATTCCTACCTGACAAGTGTGTAGGGACGCACACAAATCTCCGGTGGTTTCCTGTTTTATTACCCTGCGAGCGAGCGGGAGCTATCTAAATATAGGCAGCTTCCCTGTTGCAGTTCGTCTCCGCGCCTGTGCTAGTGTTTAATACACAAACACAAGAGCCTATGGAGACATATGCAAAGGTATACACAATTTACATTACATTTCAACAACCGACTTGCTCGTAGCTACGGCAGTTTCTCTCTCTCTCTCTTGCTCTTTCTATTGCGACCGTTTTTCCTTTTTTTTAAGATTTGAGCTTGTCCATGTCCGGATGGAAAATTATTCCCACGGCTTTTGTATGGATTTGGGGTTTGGGAGAGAGCCTGAAATCGGAACATATCGTTAGGGGCATTGTTTTCGTGTTGCATCCATATGTGCCGATGAGCTGAATGCGTGTTCGGGGAGGGGAGTGAGAGAGCATGGGTGGAAGAAGGGATTTTAGAGCCCAGGTTTTACTGATGATTTCAACTTCGAAAATCCAGATTAATTCCTTTGGTCTTGGTACAGTTCCACTCGGGTTGCGAGGGATTTCGTCACTGATAAAAGACAAAAAGCCTCAGAGCGTTTGCTTTATATTTGAAATAGTAAAATTATCAGTAAAAACAGGAATAGAAACGCCTCCCAATTGCGATAGAATCCCATTAAATTATCGATTAATTTTTCCCGATCTAGAATACTGCCGTTTCTCAAATATTGGATTTCGCCAACGGCAAACGAAGACACCCTCGATGCTTCAACATTCGATATTAAACACAATCCTAAAATTCCAAGTAACTTCACTCGGATCAACTTTTCCAGCAATTTCTATCTTGAGTAAAACGCATCATGGTTTTACCGGGTTCAAGGGAAAATAGTCCGAGGCTTTATTCTGAGCCTGTTCTCCTGTGTTACCCCCTGGGGAAGTTCTCATGACAGACGCTTTCTTTTCATATCAGGCGGTTCCCTCCAGCGCTGCATCCGACAGCGAGCACAAAGCAAAATAACAGAACACGGCGACCTACGGGGAAAAGAAGGCTTCGAAACAATCCTCTCTCTCTCGAAAGAGAAGCCCGATAGGAAGCGTAACCAGCCTCGCCTAAAGCTACCCCACAGTCTTGCCTCCCCATCCCCACCGGGGGCTACACCTCTCCTGGCATGAGTTGTCCCGTCGAAGCTGAGATGGGAGTCGGCGGCCGGTGTCTGTTGTGGGGTTGCAAACCTCACCAGGGAACACGGGGCTGCGGGCAGAGGAACTTCCCCAAGGACAAAAAAAAGGAGCAAACTGAGCTGTCTGCGCGGCAGCAGAAACTCCTCTTCATCTTCCCAGTGCTGCTGACATCCAAACATTTAATTTTTCCAGCAGAGAAAGAGGTGGGGAATGATGATATTAAATAGTTAAAGAAAGGGAAAAGAAAAAAAGGAAAAGGATCAGTCCTGCGCATCCGCCAAGGTCTTGGCTCTAGCGCACAGGACGTCTGCCCCCGGAGTGCTCCTCTCGCCTACCCGCCGGCGGAACAAAACCAAACCCGAAGCGTTCCCGCAGTGCCAAGACGGCTGATGGCTTTAGGAGCTGAGTACTCCCCCCGATCCACTCCACCCCCGAGGGCTAGATTCGCAGTCACTCGTCTCCCCACCGCTGAGCGCAGCCGGGGGCATCTCAACCTCTGAGCAGAGGCAGCCCGAGCCTGGGGACGTTTCCCCTGCGGAGGGAGAGAAGCCGGCAGCGATGGAGGATCGGAGGCGCCGGACAGCGCTGCTGCCTGTGAAAGGGCTCCGTCTTCTTGGAGAACCTACCACAGCTACCACCGGGTCCCGTCCCTCCGAGCGCCGTTGCCAACAGCACAGACTGCCCTCCTCGTATGGCCGCGCTGGCCCCGGCGGGGACTGCCGGAGGACAGCGGACTGCGGCAGGGTGCGCTGACAGCACCGCGCCGAGGGCCCGGTCTCTCCGCAGGGGCTCGGTCCAAGGGGGAGGCTGCCCCAAGCGGCTATCGCTGTTGTGTCGGGATACAAACGGCTTCGGCCGTTTTCTCCGCAGACTGCGCAGCTCCATCCTTCAGACCCACCCCGACCCCCCGGGCTCCAGCAACGAGAGAACCGCTCTCCGATCCGCACACCTTTACTCGAGCCGTCAGGGTGTTTAAACAGGCACGGCCCGTGGCAGCGGGCACTGCCCGTCCTGCACAGCGAGGCCGCCCTCACCGGGAAAACCGATCCGATGTCCCTGCGGCTCACTGCAACCCGTGCAGCCGCAAACTATACCAGCAGCTCTGCGGCTCCATCCCGGACACGCGTTAAGTAAATCCCCCAGGCGCCCGGACCGACCCGGGAGCCGGCTCCGGCGCTGTCCGTGAGGACGGGCAAGGCGGCCCTGGGGAGCCGCTGCCAGCCTGCGAGCGAGTGGGAAAGGAGGGATGTGGTCTGTGCTAGAGCCTGAAGTCAGCTGCGGGGAAAAGGTCGCTGGGGAAATCCGTGCCCACTCTCAGAAACGACACAAGCGGCAGAGCCAAGTGATAAACTAAAGTTTATAAATTAAAAAGGAAAAAAAAAAACCCAAAAACCCACCCCAAAAGTACAGCGGGTAGCTTACAAACATTCACAATTCATTTGAAGTAAATAATCTAGTTGAGTGCACAGTGTCGTTGAAAGAGAAAGGGAGGGGGTAAAAAAGAAAAAAAAAAGAAGGGAAAAAAGTAGAAAGCAAGGAGTTACCTTGAAAGAGAGTGAGTGTAATTACATTGCTGAGCAGATCTGAAATCCACACCCCTGAAGGAGAGGGCTGCAGAAGAACTCTAAAAGGCACTGATGGTATTAGGATTTCTCATTACATCGATTTCTTAAAAAGCCTGACTAGAAATATTCACATTGAATATAAAAATAATAATAACAACTTTAATACAACTGGAAAGTGCGAAAAATCCGTAACTGCTCCCTCCCCAAACACGGAAAGATCTCGGAAAAAAAAAAAAAAAAAAAAAGGAAAAGAAGAAGTCTGGAGTTTCAATGTAAGTCTCACCCTTTTGTGACATATTTATCCTTTGCCAGGGCTCATGGAGTACAGGAATAACATGGACAACAAGAGCAGGGGGGATCTGAAAGAGGCTTCCTTACATTCAGCACCATACAAGGCGCAATCAGTTTGCAACAAGTTGGAAGACCAAGGACTCAAACAGACGTCAAAAATAATCTTCCTTACAATCCACCGAGGGAGTCCTCGATCTCCTCTTTTGAGCTGTGTTTGGTTTTGCGGGTTGGTTGCTTTTGTTTGAGGTTTTTTTCTCCTCTACTTTTTTTCCTCCTCTCTCTTTGTCCCACACAAGATCGAGTCTCTACCAATCCGAAGTGAAATAAAACAAACAAAAAGTCTACACCAAATACACTGACAACATGGATACCATGAACTAGTCGTGCCGAATCGCGCAAGTCCTCGGCTGGCAGGGTGGGGACGGGGTGAGGATCGGGGCGGGATGGCCCGCAAGTCCTATGTTGGAAGAGGAGAGAGTGAGGAACCATCCAAATAATATTAACAATAAAAACAACAATAAAATAATAATAAATACTGTCCGAGGCACCGAGAGCTGCAGCTGCGGCTCTGGATTTGAGAAGCTGGCTGGATGGATGGATGAACAGGCAGATGGAGGGATAGGAGGTGGCAGAAGGGGAGATGGGTTTCCTGGCTGCCAGTGTGTGTGGGGAGGGTGCTGTGGGTTATGTTTGCTTGCCCCTCACTGGGTGCCGGCGGCTGCGGCGCAGGTGGACAGAGCCCACCCGGGCAGGCAGTAGTAAGGGTAGTAGTAGGAGGGCTGGAAGGAGAGCAGCGAGGGCGGCCGCAGCACCTCGCCAGGGTGGTACTGTCTCTGGTCGTCGCGCACCAGCACCTTGACGGCCACCTTCTTGGCGGCGGGGGCAGCGGCCAGGAGGTCGGCGGCCATCTGCCGCCGCTTGGTCTTGTACCGCCGGTTCTGGAACCAGATCTTCACCTGTGTCTCGGTGAGCTTCAGCGAGGCGGCCAGGTCGGCCCGCTCGGGCCCCGACAGGTACCGCTGGTGGTTGAAGCGCCGCTCCAGCTCGAAGACCTGCGCGTGGGAAAAGGCTGCGCGGGAGCGCTTCTTCCGCGGCTTCGGCGCAGCTGCCTCCTCCTCTCCTGGCAACAGATTCCCGCACTTGCCCGCTCCGTCCTCCGCCTCCGGGGGGCTGCGATCTGCAGGCAGGACGAGAGCACGGCGGTCAGGGCAGGCGGGCACTGGGACACCCGCATCCCCACTCCTCGGAGGGACTGCATCCGTGCAGCCGGGCAGCCTGAGGCGACGGGATGGGCGGGGAGCTGCCCACCGCCCCGCGGGCCAGGGCAGTGGGGGTTTCCCTCTCTTCGTTAAGTGCCGGGCGCCCTTTCTGGCTGGGGGCTCGGCCTAGCAAAGGGCTCTCCCCGATCCGCCCTCCCTCTCCCCGCGGGACACGTTTCGGGTGCTCTTTCCCACGGCACAGCTCGCCGCACAAACCCGCGGGGCTGGTGGAAACTGCCGATCATCTCCCGTTCTCAAATCTCCCCTCATACGCCTCCCGAGCCCTCCCGCTCCCCTCGCGCGAGTACGCTGCCGGGACTGCCCCTACCCGAGACGGCGGCCGACATCTCGCTGTCACTGAGGCCGCCGGCGTCCCGCTCCGCCGCCTCCGGGGGTTGCGCCTCCTCTGCCACCGCCGCCCGCCCGCCGCCTGTGACTTCGGCGGGGCGGGCGCTGGCACCGGCGCTCTCCTCCTCGGAACGCCGCTCGCCCTCGGGGTCTTCGCTGAGCGCAGAGTCCGAGTCCCAGCCAGCTGGCGTCCGCGGTGCCGGGACGCGGGGTGCGGGCGATGGGAGCGGCGGGCCCTCGGCGGCTCCGCACAGCCTCCAGCCACCGGCCGGCCCGGGTGGCGGCGGCCGCCCCGCGGCGTGGCGGGCGCGCTCCTCCTTCTTGTTGAGGATGGCCTGGATGGAGAAGGGCGTCAGGGCGTTGGCGCCGCGGACGGCCATGGCCCGGCGGCTGGCGGGCGGCCCCCGCGGGCTTGCAGCGGACCGCGCCGCGCCTTCAGCTGGGCGACCGCATCGCCGGCCGCGGCCGCGACGGTGCCGGGCCCTTCTCTGCCGCCGGGAGGGCGGGCGCCAGCGGGGGCAGCCTGTGTGCGCCGCTGCCGGCCCGCCCGCCCATAGGGCCGGGGCCGCCGGGGCCGCCGCTCCGCCGGGCGCCGCCGCGGGTCCCTGCAGGCGCGGGGCTGCCTCCGCCCCGCTCTGTCCCGCCCCGCGCCCGCCCTCTCCTTTTTCTGCCGGCGGCGCTGTCATCGCTCACCGCGCTGACAGCGCCGGCCCCCCGCCTTCCCATTGGGCAGCCTCCGAGCGGCCCGCTCGGCGATTGGCTCCCCGCAGCGGGGCGATGCGGCTCCGCGGGGCGCGCTGCGGGGCGCGCCGAGCTTTAACCCCTTGAGGCCCGCGGGGCTCCTCCTTGTGCCCCATCCGGGCCCGCATCGCCCCGCGGGGGGAGCGCGTCCTTCCCGGGACCAGCGCTGTGTGCGCGGCGGGGAAAGCGCCCAAACCTCCGGCCGCTCGCCCTGCGGGTGTCAGCGCGCAGCGGCCTCCACTGGTTTTCGAAAACGGGCTTTTCCGCACCTCGGTGATTTAAAAATGGGGTCGGTCTTTTGTCAGGGACGGTCTTGTGTCCCTGAGTCTCTTAAAAACCTTTCTAAGAGGATAATTTATGGCAGCTTCAAGGAAAGCGGACTTTAATTTGCGTGAAGGTGTGCTTCCCCTGAAAGAGAACGGCCCTAAACAGTACGCTTTTGGAAACCATCGCACGCGCGTGAATGGCATCGACGCGGCCCGTTGCCAAACTGCCGGGCTCCCCAAGCACCTCGCCTCCCCTTGTTTCAGACACTGGCATCCTCGGAGCTAATAGAAAAATCCCGGCCAGGGTATCCAGCAGGTACAAGGGAAACGAAACACCAGCGCTTTGCCACCGCACGTTTTTGATGCTGGGGTGACGCGGCGGCATAACGATGTGGACAGTATCAGAACGCTGACCCTCAGACCCCAAAACTCAGCTTTTTTTTCTGAAACCCCATTTCCTGTGCCAACCTGCTGCTTCCCTGGCACGTGTTCCCCACCAGCACATCCCTCCTTCTACTCTCAGAGAGGAGCGTCTGTTCTCAGCAGACCGCGAAGCCACCACAATTGATTATCAACGAGTGCGGCACCAAATAAATGTTTTCGGTCATTATTCTTACCCGGAAAATAAATTAACGAAATAAACAATCCCGCTTTCACAGTACGGTTGTGTCGGGACGCCGGAGAGCACCTTTGCGTGACTGAGCCAGAGCAGGCTTCAACCTTACAAACAATCCAGCCCGTTTTAATAACCCCGCTTGGGCTTACTCGTTATCCCTTTTCCCCACCCAGGTATTTCCCGGGAAAGCCAGCGCTTCTGCCACCCAAGACTTCGGTGCCACTATACACTCAGGAAATACCTGCAGTGTATTTCCTGTAAAAGGGGAATTTATTTTAAGAGGTGGAGAAAAGTAAAAGATATGCGGGGAAGCTGTGAGAAATCCGCTTGAGCGGAGATGTGCGAGAGGTGCAGGAAGGGTACCCTGTGCGTGCGTTTTAAGGGGTGCTGAAGAGCCGAGAGGTGAAATCTGGGGAATCGGAGGAGATGCGTAAACTTAGACGTGAGGAGAGGAAGGGCTCCATGCTTCCAAGGGGAAAAGGCTGGAGGTGAGGGTGGTGGGAGCTGTGGTTTGGTCTCCGGGCACGAATGAGGATAGGACCTCAGCGCAGGGCCGCTCCTGTGCTGGGGCTCTGCTCAGGTGCGCAGACCGCCGAGCAGGCGGCCCTTTGGGGCTGGAGATGCGGCGGAAGAGGAGCTCTCCCCGGCGCAGCCCCTGCCGAGCTTCCAGGCAGCTTCCAGCCCGCGAAGTCCCTGATTTACAAGGTTTCGCTCCGAAGCTCTTGGAAATACCTGCGGTTACTTTACAATGGCTGTAATTCTTTGCTAATTTACCCAGCTTACTCCCTGCCACCCCTTTTCTTTTTCTTCCTCTCTCCGGCCTCCCGGGGCTATCTCTGCGCCCTCTTCCCGATCAGAAAACTACTGTTCAGGGAAGGAAATGCCTGGGGACGAGGACGGCAGGAGAGGGAGCAGCAGCGGGGGTAAGGCGTGCAGGGAGGCCGGGCAGGGCCGGCGGCCCCGGGGCTGTGGCGGCCAGGGGCCAGCTGGGTGGTCCCTCCGAGCCCGCCCTCCAGCCCCTCCGGGGGAGATGGACATCGGAACGGAGCGGCGGAGGGAGGGAAGGGGGAGCGGGAGCCCGGCATTGCTCCCCGCTGCCCGCTCGGAGCGGGGATCGCAGCCAGCGCCCGGCCGCGCTCAGCTGGGGCAGCACCGGAGGACAAGGGCCCCAGACACTGCGTGCGGCATGCACGGTCACCCCTCCGAGTGTGTGTGTGGGGGGGTGGTGGTGGTGGAAACGGGGCAGTGAAAGCGTCGGGGGGCACGGGAGGAGGCGGCAGGGCGGGCAGGGCAGCGCCTGAAGTTTTGCAGGCGGAGGCACAGCTTCCACCTTTACCGCACCCCTGACAAGGGCTCCGCTCCCGCCATTGCGCGGTTTGGAAGCAGCTGAACCCCACATACTGCGCGGATCCGCCCTTCTACAGCCGTGTTCACGCGGCAGCGGGGAGCACCCACCCCGCCGTGCCCCACAACCGCAGCCCCTAGAGCCCCGCCGGCAGCCCCCCAATCAGCTCCGCTCCCCGCGGGGAGCCCCGGCTGCGGCGGGCGGGCTGCCCCACCTAGAGGCGGTCCGCCCGCACTGCCCGGCCTCGGGGCGCCCGGCGGGTCCGTGGCTACATCGAGGGCCGGGGGAACCCAGCGGTGCCCAGGCACAGCCCCAGTGCCCTGTCCTCTATCCAGTGACAAACTGTGGTGTGGGCTGGGAGAGCGGGAGCTGAGCCCGTGTGGCTGCAGCGTGAGTGAGGGGGCTTCTTGCAGTCACCCGAGGCGTTTTCTTTCCAGCTGGGGAGAAACTGGCTCACAGAAGCACTGCATATAGTGCAAAGGGTGATGAAACACGGAAGGATGTGCCCTGCTCACGGGCATCTCACGAAAGTATAAGATAAACATGTGAAAGATGGTATATACGCGCAGGTGGCTGCAAAACCTTTAAAAAAGCATTCGTAAAGAGCACACAATTTTTATACACTGTACAGTGTTATAGAAAAAGACCCAGATGGGCTCCTGCGTGGGAGCAGCTTGCACTGGGAAAAGGGAATGGTGCAGCCTTTCCTTCAGGATAGGATTAACCCAGTATGGGATATTACTCCGGGAAGAAGGTTCCATGTGCCAACTCCCAGGCAGAGCCAGGCCAGCTCACTCCCATTTCTGTCCCGACTGTCTGTCCCCTGAGCTCTCCTTCCTCAGGCCCTGGGCTACCCCACGCTGTTGCTCTCTTGGCAGCACTTCCCAAAGCCTGCAGTGGTGGTGGTAGGCAAGACCTCTGCCATAGCCAGTTAGAGGTGGTATTTTTTTTTCCTAGACAGAAGCTGTCTTCCAGACTTGTTCCTAATTTGCCTCCTGATATACACAGAGGGATGCAAATCATTGCAGTCTCCTACTGTGTCTTCCAGGGGCTTAGGTGGAAGACAGCAAATGGTACAAACAATGCTTTCTCCCAGAAGGAATTTCAAACCCCTGTGACTGTTGGTGGTGGGGAAGATTTAGTTCATGGCACTTACCTCGGCTTTGCTCCTCTGGCTGTGAAGCAAGGTATAGGAATATGTCCTGGACAACTTGCTGGCTTTGCAGGAGAACCTCAGGTCGTCTGTACTTGAGCAGGTTTTGACTCTGTTCCTCAGGTAACAACAATATATTTCCAAGCAAATGTAACCACAGCTACACAGGAGGTGATGGTTGTGCATCTCTAAAACAAGTCAGTAGCAGGATTTTTCCCTGCATTTCACAAGGGACCTCATGTAAGTAACTGCTGTAACACTCAGCCTTCAAGTTGCTTTTGCTGTTGACATCAGGATCCTGTTTTGTTGCTATCAACTCCAAGATGCTTCCAGACTTCAGGGAGAGGGGGATACACTGCCTACAATTGAGAGAAAAAGCTGAATGATTTTTAGTACCCAACTGAATATTAAACACAGAGAATGTGCAAATGTAATACTGACAATGAGAACTTTGATCTCATTAACTTGGCAGCCTCTTAGCAAATTAGTTCAGTAGGTTTTAATGGCTGGTTTGCACTCCCCTTCTCTGCTCATATTCCTTATTTGGGGAAAAGCCTATGTCCTTTAAGGCTGTGAGGCTGAAACACAAGCATTCTGATAGGAGTTTAGAACCAAACTGAAAGGAACACTTGAACCTTGCTGGTTGCATATACACAGTGACACAGTTTGGCCCCGTTTTATTGCTCAGAGATGCTACTTCTGGGAAAACCAATCCAAATCACCCTCTTGTTTCTTGATCACTACAATAAGAAGTGCAGGATCGGCATACAGAGTACCAACCATGAAAACAAAACTACTAACATCTGACTCACTGCATGACAGTTTTTCTCTGGAATTATTCCTCCTCAAAAGACCCAAAAAGGAAAGGATGTAAGGTCTCTTCAGTCATCACACTCCAAAGAAAGACTGAAGCTGTGCACTTGTTTCTGCTGCATGGTGCCAAGAAGCCATGAGCGGCATTCACACTGAGCCTCGTCCCACAAACACCTTCAGGCCAGACCATCTTTGAAATGGATTTTTCTTTTTGCTTCTTCCCTTATTTTCATGCCCAATTTCCTACTACCCCAGTAAATGGCAATATAACCCTCATCTTATGATGTATTTATCTGTAGCACAGAAATACAATCTGGACAAAATTAACTTGATTTACTAATGAAAAGCAAACCAGCATATCCAAATGGCCAGATTCATTTTATAGTCATTAATTAAAGGCTTTGAATTCTTCTGTGAAAAAATTAGAGTAACATTTAGCCCCTGTA